GAGATGCTCCCCACAAGCTCCCCTTCAAGTCCTTGGCACTTTTTGTACCCGATGTGAGACTATTTGAAGCTGGCGTGATGCTGTTCACAGGCATCCCAGCCTACCTGCATCCATCCACACCCCTGCCACCACCCTGCCCTTGGGGCTGTGCTGGCTCTGTCCGCATGTCCCCGTGTCCCTGACACTCCCAGCCCCATGGCTGCGCTTGGCCACGGAGCCGGTACCAACACCCCGCACCGGTTCTTGCGCTGGAGCGTGTGCTGCCACGGCGCGGCGCTGGGTCCCAAGACAGGGCACGTGCTGAGCTCCCCGGTGCATGGACACATGGCACCCGTGGCACATGGCAGCGTGAGGACCCACGGTGCATGCCTGTCCCTTCTCACCTGCCCCATGGCGCACGCGTGTCTCCTCCCAGCATCCCACATGGCACAGGCGCATCCCTTCACACCTCCCCACATGCGTCCCATCACATCTTGCCATCAGTACATCTGTGTTCCTGGCTTGGCAGCAGGGGTTCCCCTTCCCGGGGAGGATGCACCTGTCTTGCTCCGTCGTACAACCTGCCCCTTTGTTTCACTCTTTTGCAATTCAGGCTCTTCCTGGCACCGATTCCTCACGCTCCCGGATCAGGAGGCTGATGGGGAGATGTTTCACCACCCACCATCCTTCCCATCTCCTAAAAGCCCTCTTGGCCAGCACGGACTTTTTGCTGTGCAGGTCCCACCAAGCAAGGACTGGGGGGTGAAGGGCCTGGGCATCCTGGGCACAGACCAGATCATCTTTCCCCCAAAACACTCAGGGTTTAGCCCGTGTGGCTAGGTCACAGCCTGTGCCAGGCACTGGGAGCACCAGAGGGTCTCCCACAAGCAGCATCATCGCCCCAGCACTGGGAGGAGGCAGCGATTGCCAATGTCCTTGGTTGTCATCAGGCAGCAATTATAGCTGCTGGGAAATGCCACCTCCTAAGACCGGCTGGCAGGTTTCTGGCATGCTGACATGCCCGGATTTGTAAAACCTCTTTCTTGGCTTCTTGGCTAGCTGTTAAGAAATCATCCAGGAGGGATGCTGCTCATGATTTCGGAGAGGTCACTGGTGGGGTGGGATCTGTTGACTGTCCCCTGGCACCCATGCAGCGAGGTGATGGGGGCAGACACCTCACCTCCCCCCAAACTCAACATCAGGGCAGACGCAGGAATGATGGACAACATCCCTCGTTGGGAAAAACCATCATCATCCCACTGGAGACCCTCACCCAGCATCTTTTGCACATTCCTCTTCCATCATCTCTGCAAAGACCCCTAAATTCTGCAGGAACATCCGTGTTCCCAGGAAAACCCCTACCCCATCACCGGCCAGCGATGCTGCCTTCCTGGAAATGCCTCTTTTGGTGTTTTCTTGTTTTGCCCTAACGAGTTTGGTGTGTCCCCTCCCTCGTTAACAGTGGGAGCAGCCAGTTCCCGGAGCCAGGCAAGAAATCACCGCCCGGGCGTGCTGTGTAACCTTGCACAATTCCCGGGGTTATCACCCCGAAGAGAATCTGAGGATGTCACAAATTGTAGCTCAAGGAGAGTATAAAAGAGCCCTTGCCTCCACCGCGCAGTCACTGCTCCTGCCCGCTCCTCTCCTCCTGTGCGCTGCCGTCTGCAGAAGTCAGCCCCAGCACTGCTCGCAGGTAAGTAGCCCCTTGCCAAACAGTGGCTTCAGGTAGCCGTGGTAGGTGCTGCTGGAAGTGCCACTGGGGTGAGCCCATCCCCGGGGGACAGCCAGAGCCCGGACAGGGCTCCAGGAGGAGAGGGTTGACCTTCTTCTCTGATGGGGTTTAATGTTTTGCTGACTGTCCCTTCCTAACAAGATGAAAACCGACCTGGAGCTCGCCTTGGAGTGCGTCGTCAACATCTACCACCAGTATGCCCTGAAGTGCCCCCCCATAGATGACTACCTGAACAAGTATGAGTTCACGATGCTGCTGAAGGAGACCGCCTCTCCCTTCCTCCACAGCACCATGCCGGTAAGGGCCGAGCACGGCCCCTCGCTCCTAACGCTGGCAAGAGCTTGCAGGAGTGGTGGCTTCCTTGGGGCATGGGGGTGGCAGAGAGGCTCCCAAAGGGGAAAGAGGGTTTTTCTAGGGTTCTCCTGAAACCATTCAGTCCTTGCTGGGTGTGCCTCGTGCTGTAGCTGTGTAGGGTGACCCTGAGCCCGCTGTGCTTCAGGCTGACTCTTTTTCACGTTTGTCCTGCTGCAGCCCAGCGTGTCCATTGATGACTACATAAACAAGCTCTTCGACAAAGCAGATGGCAACCACAACGGTCGCCTGAAGTTTACCGAGTTCCTGAAAGTACTGACTTGCATAGCCATCGATGCCCACAAAAGGTTCCACCAGTGTCCAGGCAAGAGCCTGGAAAAGCAACCAGATGCTGGTCACAGCCATGACCACGGCAAAGACCAAGACCCTGGCCACGGCAAAGACCAAGACCATGGCCACAAACCTTCTCCTGGCCTCAAACCTGGTCCTGTCCTCAAACCTGGCCAAGACCACAGCCATGACCATGGCCACAATCCCGGCCAAGACCGCAGCAAGGACCATGGCCATGGTCCTGGTAAAGACCGTGGCCACGGTCCTGGTAAAGATCATGGCCAAAGTCCTGGTAAAGACCGTGGCCATGGTCCCCGCCAGTAAAGCCATTCCTGCGGTGACTGTACCCACGGGATTGTGCCCTTCCAGCAGCATCATCCCTTGTGTTTGTCCACAAGCACAGACAAACCTGTATCCAAAGCTTTGTGATTTTCTTCTGCCTGTAGCACTGAAATAAAATTTATTTCTTCAAGCACAAAATGCATCTGTGTTATGTGCCCTGTTGTCTCCAGGGAGGATGCAATATGCACCTAACCCATGGCTGTGGGGGGTTAAATGCAGATTGAACCGGAGAAGCAAGAGGAAAGGGAAGGTGGCACGAGAGGACCCTGCTCTGTGCAGAGTGGGGAGCCAAGAGTTCTGTGAACCGGCTGGGCAGCTCAGGCTGCGTGGGCTCCCTGTCCTGTAGCATCGCAGACCCCGGCACGCTCCCTGCTGCCTTCCTGGGGCTCATCGGTT